TAGCAAAATCTGCAAATATAAAATTCAGTGTTCAAGTGTAGCTCTAAGACTTCACATGGATAGAGACCTCTGTGATATTGGACACTGTCAAAGAATTAGAAATATTTTGTAATCCTGGTCTTATACCTTTTCTATGAATCCAGGCGTTACAAATCATGCTGGTTGAATAGTCCTATCTCTCTAGCCTAAGTGAAAGATATACTAAGTGTTATATTTAAAAGTAGTTTCACTTACAAGGAATGTTTAATAAAGCTATTACAGGGTATGTTGGAACTGAAACTCTTTCAAGATTTATGATTGTGTGTTTAAGGTTGATGTCTGCCAGGAACAGATGGTATTGAAGCAGACAGCTGACAAGTGATACAGCAGAAAACACCTATTAAATGATATTTTCAAAGTGTGATCACAAAATAATGAGAGCATTTCAAAGTGTTACTGCAAAATTTGGTTTTGAAGAGCAGATAGGATAAAGAGGAGTTTTTATGAAGGGGGAAGTTGCATTCATGCTTCTCTGAAAAATACTTTAATTCAAAGATTTTGGATCAGTAGATACTGAACTATTTGAAGGGCAAATTGAAGTTATGTTCTAATATACTCTTGGGGAAGCCATAGTCAGGTTACAGCCGTCTCACTGGATACGTATGGGATAAGAGATCTGCCTTTAAGGCATCTAGCTCGTTAAAACTCTCCGTAGCTATTCTAAATCAATTGCTGAGGGAGAACCCAAACCAGGAATAAATTGTTATATCTCAAAGGAAACTTACAACTTTAAAGAGGTAGGTTTGAGTGCTGCACATTTAAATTAGCCATTGCAGAAGTTTTGATCTGTGAAATAACCAGCAAAACAGTTAAAGCCTATTTTTTAGATTAAATGGAACAAAGGTGGCGTGGCCCTTGTTCTGGGTTAGGGGAGTTAAGAAGAAGCTCATAGCACCACTGTCCCTGCCACTGTATTCCAAATTCGATTTTAACGGCGTCATAAGGCCTTCTCCTATGCATTTATCATGTTGTAATCCTTATAGAAACTCCTGTGTAGGTGAAATGTTTGGAAAACTTGGGAAATGGAAGCACTGTGAGTGGCAGGATTATGTTTCTTACGAAATGCAATCCAAAGGCTCATATAAATGTGATGTCGGGGGTTTTGTGGCACAGAGCTGTCATTCTGAAAAGTGATTCTGTAAGAACCGAGCCCTCTTCATTCTTTTTAGTTTGTTGACAGTGTTGACCAATGTCTGGAATTAAACTTTGGGGTTTCTTATTAGGAATAGAGATTTCTTTGTTGTTTCTACTGGAATGCCAACATTCCCTTTCCACGATGTAAAACCTGCCTACTGCAGGTACTGTGATGTGTTTCCTTACTAACAGTACAGCTGATTTAGAGTTGTAACAGTCCTGTTTGCCTTGCAGATTTTGGAATTGGAAAATGAAGATGGCACAATACTTGCTTTTTTGTGTTGTCAAATACTGCAGTAATACAGTGATATTTGGAATTCAGTAGTCCCAGCAGTGTTAAATTTTGCACTCTGTATACAGTGACTTTTATGTACAAACCCCCTTCTCTCTTGAAATGTTTCTTCATTTAAGTTTATGAAATTAAAGGAACACTATGGCCAATATTTATATTAGTATATCTGTGCTGCAAGATGTCTGCTTCCAAAGTTACTTGTTAAAAGCGAAAGCTTCGTTAGTGTTATTTACTGTAATGCTTTATATGCAGTAGTTTGTATTTGCAAATAAAATCTGTTCATCAAATGATTACCTTTTTTTTAAATAAAAAGTAGTTGATCTGTATAGCAGTACTTCAGTAGCACTTAAAATACAGAATTCTCTTTCATTTTACTTAGATTTCATTTATTAAAGTTCGCCAATAAAATGTAAGACTTCAGATGGAACAAGATTAGAATTTTCTTTTAATGGAAGCTTAGACCTCTGCATACTGATGAGGGCTTGCTGAATGCAGCATTTCTGCTTTTGTGAGAAGTTCTGAAAAACAGGTTCTCATACTGTGACAGGACAAGGCGTAATGGTTTTAAACTAAACCAGGGTAGGTTTAGACTGGATATAAGGAAGAAATTATTTACAATGAGGGTGGTGAAACACTGGAACAGGTTGCCCAGAGAGGTAGTGGAGGCCCCATCCCTGGAAGCATTCAAGGCCAGGTTGGACGGGGCTCTGAGCAACCTGATCTAGTTAGCGGTGTCCCTGCTCCTGCGGGGGGGTTGGACTAGATGGCCTCTAGGGGTCCCTTCCAAGCCAAAACATTCTATGATTCTATGATACAGGAAACCAAGAACTTTCTCACAGAGAAGTTAAATAAAAAAATAAAATAAATTGTTTTGAAGCATCAAAAAGTGCCAGCTATGAAACTAGGGGGGAAAAAAAAGTCAGGGCTTCTGTCAAAGCACCCTCAGCATGCAGAATACTTGTGGTTGATAGAGACCCTGGGGCTTGGGTTTGTTGAAATACCAAGCGCTGGAGGTGACCCAGAAGACTACATGAGCGTCCCAGCAGGGCTGCCCTCGTGCTGTAGAGCTGGGAAGTGTCCACCAGCCTCCTGCATACGTACCCTCCCAGTTTGTGCTCCCTGCTGCACAACTGGGAGCTGGGCTTTCAGTATTTTCAGGCTGTCAGTTTAAGAGCAGCAGAACTGAAATATTTGCATGACTTTGAACCATACATCTTGGAAACATAGGAGGGCTGGAGTGGAAATGTTGCTTGTGTTCGAGCTGCTTTCTTGTTTGTAGCTTGGTGGTTTCAGGATGCTCAACAGTTTCCATTAGTAGAGGTTGGATTTTTGGAGAAGCCTGGCTAAAGTTTATCAGAATTTTGGACCATGGATGTTTTGGGAAAATATATTCAGGGTTTGGTGGTGATCAGCATTTCTCTGGACAAGAAGCTCCCTTCTCTCCACCATTTCACGGGAAGATATTTGATTGGTTTTATCAGATTGGCTGCTTGCATGACTTCTGTCACTGAGCTGTTAAAAAAAAACAAGCAAAAAACCAAGCCAAAGCCAAACCAAACAAACCAACACCACAACAAATGTGATGAAAATTTTGATAGTCATGAGTTTTGCCCTTTAAGTGGGGAATGCAGTTTTTGCTTGTGTTCCTGAGTGAATACTGACTCTACAAAAGGATGTACTCATGGCCCATCTTATTTTCTCTAATTCTACCATGAAATTGCAGATAGTATAATATCATACCGATTTTTCTGTGTTCCTTGATCAGTAAATTATAGGCTTTTTAGCATTATCAAAAAGGCTTAAATGGAGTTGCAAAATACTAGATAGCTGTAGTAGCTCCATTCCCCCCGACTAGAGGAATGAAAACTGATTGTCATTGCTGACTGGTCTTTACTGCCTTTGGGCTGGGGAAGCAAGTTTAATACACGTATTACTTTCTCCCTTGTGCTTCCTGTCTCTCTGGGTTGGTTTGGGTTTTGTTCCCCTTGATGAAAAAAAGGTGCCAGGGACACCTTGGTGCCAGGGGCTGTCATCTTTGCCATAAATACGTAATCTGCAACGGCGACATGCTGGAAGTCATTGGCGCTATAAGGCATGACATGGCGTTAGTGATAAGTAAGCAGCGTTGATTCCTTACTCAGGGCACATCAGTGTCAGGTTTGCACTGCTCAATTTGGAATTACTTGTGTGTAATTCCAAAAATTCCCTTAGGAAACGTTGATAAGATAGTGACTGTGCAACCTAAGACTTTTTCCGAGCAAGGACTAAACAGGGAGTAGGTTGTTTGGGGCGTGTGTGTGGTGTTGTCTTGGAGGGGGGGGAGGGTTGAGTGTAGTAAGTTCTGAAATTGTCTGTTATGTTTTAGAATTGACTTCTTGGGTGTCGGCTCTAGTTTTGCTATCAGATCTCTCCTGTCGTGAACTTTAGCTCTCAAGTAGTGATTCACTGAGTAAGGTTATTTTATAAGGAATGCTTTTTGCAATAAAACGTCAATTAAAATGTGCGTTAATTTTACCATAGCAGTGACACCATAGGAGAAGTAATAGAAATGTCTTGTGACTTAAAATTTCTTGCTGCTTATAATCTTGATCCGTTACCGCCAGTGCATTTGAAACTCTACTAAAAAGATCTAGACATCTAAGCAGAGTTTAGGCCAGAATTGGGATGCTGACTGAAGATGATCCATCTCTCTTCTAATTTTTCAGCGGCCTTCCCTCAGAGAGCAAACTGGTTGGTTCTTGTTCATTTTGATCACTCACTGGGATGTGAAAGTGATGTTATTTTTCTGATAAAGCTATAAACTGGTGCAGTGAAATTAGCGCTGATTCTGAAAGAGTTGAGAAAGATTTTGTGCCAACTCTTTCAAAAGTGAATCTTCATCAGTATATATTGCATATGGCTAAGTTCTCTTACTTGTACCTTCAAAAGGACCTTAGATCAGCCTGAAGTAATCAAAAGTGCCGGGTCTTACTTGCATCCTCCAGGGTGTTTTCTGCAAAATAAATTGCATCTCTACCTTCTCTTTGCTTATTTACAGTAAACAAAACGGTTGAAACTAGATTTCAGTATTTTTGCCCCTACTCACTCCAGCTTCTTTTCTGTTTTCTATTTAAAAAATTACTTCTGAAACTAACGTTAAACTTTCCAAAGAAAATGTTTCTCGCTAATTGTTGCATATGAATGTGAAACACCATTTTTAATTGAGTAGGACAGCATCAAGTTCCTGTCTCTGGAGACAAGTGAATGGTGATTTCTAACTGTTGGGTTAATCTGAAGATGTGATGAGCATCTGCCAATCTGTGTGTGTCAGGAAAACACTAGTTGACTATATAGGTGTTAAGAGTTCCTTAGGGAGAAGCATGCTTGTCTTAGTAAATGTGACTAATGTCTTTAGACTAATTATGTTTTCTAAAGTATAAAATGTACAATATTTGGAAGATGCACTTTTATGCAGTGTTTTTTCATAACTCATAGAGAATGCTAAAACATACTTTTTTATTTTAAATAAAACCTTTTTTCCCCCCTCTTACCACAGGATAATGAGAAAAGGACCCCTTTACATGCTGCTGCCTATCTGGGAGATGCAGAAATTATTGAACTACTTATTTTATCTGGTATGTTCCGTTCCTGTTAATGGAAAAAAAAAATATCTCTATGCACATCCAAACAAATATTTATGTACATCTTGGTCTGTGTAGCTTTTATTGAGATATTTAATGTACTAGAAATTAAAGATGTTTGTACTGAAATTTTGGGTTCCAGGCTTGTCAGTGTTATAATACTGTGTAGTTCTGCTCTAAAATATTTCTTTGTAGAAAGATTTCTCAGTTATAGTTATTTTTATTTGTAGCTTGATCAGCTTTAGGTAGTTCAGTTCAAAGAAGTAATAGTGTATATGTTACAGGCAGATGTTAGCAGCATTGCTTTGGTTCTGACATGGGCCTTCAAGAAAACGACCAAAGTTGAACACAGAATATGGCATCCAGAGTTGATGATGTTATTTTTAAGTATCCTTTGCTGTTGGCTTAAATGCACAGAATACAATTAGGATCAGCTGAAAAATTTAAAATCTCTTACCTTTTTTCCATTTATTTGTACTAAGATAAAGTGCAAGTTCTATAAAACAGTATACTTCTGTCTTTTTTTTTTTAATTAAAAAAAAAAAAGTAGAAAAGCCAAGAAACTAAACCAAAAACCTAAAAGCAAAGCTTCATGACTGAGATATTGAATTGAGTGTCTTTGGTCTTGGACAAATCTACCCATCAGGTAGCTTGAGGCTGAATTAATTATACGGAGCATTAAGGTTAAGTAGAAAGATTAAAATTTGTGACAGTCCCATAGAGCTACTTTAATCTTCAGTCTGCTTAATGGCACACCTTACCTGTGCAAAGCTGGGTATTTCCACACCCTCACCCCTCCCCATCAACCTTTAATAACAAATTTTGCTTTAAGGAAATGTCACTTTCAAGATTATAGGAGTCACTTCCAGACTTCCAACTGAAATTGCCAGGCACAATTTAATTTGGTATAGTTTAGCAAGATATAATCTTCTCATTATATATATTATATGTACTGTCTCTATATAAATATATATACTTACACTTAATTAATATCACATTATTTATATTTTTATATATATTTCCTATGAAAATAGGCTATAGTGGTAACTTGTCCAGGAAAGTTCACCTGTGTTGCTGAGAAGGTGCTGGTTTTCCCTGTGACGAAAAAAAATCAAGTTCTGGTGACTCCTGAAAGTCTATAATGACCCCTTTCTTCTGAAAAGGGATCTTGGATTTGGCAAGGATATTTCTTTTTGTTTGGGTTTTCACAATGATTAAAACAAAACCCCAAACCACCTAACCATGTTATAAACTTTGCAAAGATGTAGTCAGCTGCTTCTGGGAGTGAAGCTTCTGAGTGTTTTGGGGGAACAGAGTCCAGTTACCAGAACCGTGATTGAAGAAAATCTCTCAGGCAAAGGGCTTATGGAAGGAGCAAGATTCTAGTTCAGATATTAATGAAACAAGATCCTGATTGGGGGGGTGCCAGCAGGAGAAGAAAGGTTAGTCATGCTATTGGGGCACATAGCCTGGGCATAAGTGTAAGAAAAATTGGAGAACAAAGGAGGGAAGTGAAGAACTAAGAATTAGGGCTGTACCAATAGTCCAAAGTTGAGCTGTCGCATGGAGGAGAGGTTGTGGGGTGCTGCTGTGTCTGCAGACTGCCCAGGAAGACTGGGAGGCATTGATATGCCTTGGATAACATTTATTTAATGAAAATCAAGATTTACTTACACAAAATAACGCATTAAATCGTTATAAAATCAAAAGCATCGGAAGTTATGGAATGCGTAGGAGGTATCAGTCTAACCTTGCTGTGCTCATGCGCTGTGGGCTTCCAACGACGCGTGCGTGCCTTGCTGTAGAGGCACAGCCTCACGAGTTTCACAAGGAGGGGTGCGCTGGGAGTGAGTCGGGGTGGTACTGTGCAGGAGGCACAGGTGCCAGTTGTGAATGAAGAGGAGCATGAATCGCAGAATGAGAAAGCCATGTCTGCCTGTTAAGGCTGTCCAGTTTGAAAGGCTGTGCTGTACTTGGGCACTAATCTGTGTGTTAACCTGCTTGCAAGCTGTGGTTTTAAGCTACTTGCTTAAACCAGACTCTTCAAAAAGTACTCACCGATTTAGTCTTCTTCATTTCTGAGTGCTGGACTTGAAAACTTCATGGCTTGTCAAGTGTGAGCATTCACAGTGGTATCTGAAGCGCTGCACCAGCTACGTCTCTGAGAAATCAGGTCTAGGTGTCTCAAAATGCACAAGCCAAGATTTTTCTTTTAACTCTTCTCATTGGGGGATGGGGAACAGAGGTTAAGTGTATTTATCCGCTCCATTTCATAAAGATACGGAAAATTCATTTATCGTATTTCAGCTGGCAATCAAATCTCTCCTTTGAGACAGATGTACAGTGTTACATTTTGTCATAATAGATGAGCATTAGGGAGCAAATAAAGAACATCTGTTACCACTGCAAGGTTTGAAGAATGCTTGCCGTGTTGCAAGACCTCGTTTTGAACAAGAAAATAGTTTGTTGGATAAATAACATTTCTGAACAATGGTCTCCTGTGCAGTAAATTTGCATGTAAAAATTTTTGTGTGGCTTTAATTGACCTACTGTAATATATTTGCGCAAGAGATTGAATTAAGTAGTGTAGACTACTTTCATCCTAGAAGTTCTTACCTTGTGAGAGCTTGGCTTTGCAACTTGTGACATCCTCTAATGTACTTTTGCTAGAATGTTATTAGGAACCACTTTACGGTTTTCCTGCTGTGCAAGCTATCCTACAAAGACTATTTGCTTTTGACTTTTTTATTCTTTCTTCAATCTGGACCTCAAAATTAGTCAGTATTAATCTTTCCACTACTCAGTGGCTCTTACCTGTTTCTTTCTCATTATTCTTAGTTAAAACGCATATAATATGTTACCTAGGCATAGTTTTTTTTAAAATTTGACTGGAATGTCTTTTGCATCTCCCTCCAGGGGATCCATGTTGCTTTCAGGTATGTATTTTGGATCATATGTTGCTGTTACAATATCTTTGTATTACTTTGCTTTAGATCTAGGCAGCCCATATTGCACGTTCTGAAGACAAAACTGATTCAGCGTATTTGCAGACTTTTGTGGCATAAGTTTTCAGACATGCAAGCATGCTCACTTAGTTTTTGAATTCTTGAGATATTTTTCCACCAAGCCTCAAGGTTGCTGTGTGATCTCTCTTGTAGTCTTTCACCTGGGCAAGGGACCTGAAGGTGGTGGCTTAGATACAGACTCTGAACAGCAAAGAAAATCGCTTCAGTGACTCCAGTTCAGGGCTGGACATTTAGAATGCCTTTTGGTTTTTATTTTGAGACAGTGCTTCACTGAACACTAATAAACTTGTCCCCTGAGGATGTGAACGTCTTGCCAGCAAATTGTCATACCACTATGGTCTGTGGAAGTCTAAATATTCAAATAATCTATCCCTGCTAGGTTGTAGCCAGATAAGCAATTAACATTCCTAAATTTGTTAGGTAAGGAGGTGAACAATAAATAGAAGAGAAGCATAAAGATTATTTTTTTTTATAGTATACAGTATGATGGAACAAAAGTTTGTATTTTAGACACCTGAGAATCATTATTTTAGAAGCATTTTCTTTTTTGTATTGTTCTGTGAATGTAACAGCTGTCACGGTTGCATTTTTATGCTGTATGTACAACTGCATCCTGGTGCACAAATACATCTGTATACTTTGCATAATGGCACTGGCTTCGACTGTGTAAATACTTTATGGCAAAGTACTGAGAAGTAGAAAAGTAAAATAATTAAGTCTTAATTAACTGAATGCCCAACTTTTTGTTCTTCCCAAGAAGTCCTGATTAAAAAAACCCAGGCCCTTCTTTCAGTTAAGTCCTGCATGTGAGCTGTTCTGGGGAGGCTTTTTGCTTTATAAAAAAAAAAATCATTCTTTCTGTTTGTCCTGGGCTTTTTTTTAAAGCCATCGGAATCTATTCTGCAGGCAAGTGGCACATGGGCAGCAGGACAGATTAGCATGTTCCCAGAATGTGTTCTTTTGATAAGTAACTTTTAAAATGTGTTTTCTTTCAAATGCCATGCAGACTACTATTGCTTGTCACTGAAATCAGCGTAATTCATGAAAATAAACATCTGAATTATCTGTTGTTTTCTTTTGAATAGATTTAGTTACTATATTGCATTGATATGTAAATACTAACACAATACAGTTCTGTTTGTTTAACCCAAAAATTTCACTGCATGGAGCTCAACATACGTGAGTGTGTAGTCAAACTCAATCTCATTAAGGTTTGGCAGCCCACAAGTTTTTGTTGTGCTTTCCTCTGGGTCAGCTGGAAAATGTAAGAATTGTGCTGATGCTGTAAAACTATCATGACAGGAATAACAGATTTTGGAGGATAGTAAAGACCCTCCAACATTACTCCACTCTACCTGCCTTTCATCTAATTCTGAAGCTATGCAGGTATTAGAAGTCCATGCAATGACAGTGACAGACCTCAGCTGTTGAAAGGCTGCTGCTGCAAAAATATCAGCCGTATGAAGCTCGCTTTGTTTGGATTGCAGATGTACCCACACACCGAAAGCGTTTCACAGGAGCTCCTTTTTTGCTGGCTGTATCTTTTGGTCGCTTCCTCTCCTTTTGACAATGATGTTGGCCGCAGTTTTCTTTTTTTGAGCTATCTTAACTTCCCTCTGGCAGCAGTAACAGTCAGTGGCTATGAAGAAAGGAGCACTGATGCTCTTTGAGAGAGAAAATGAAGCTGATCTAAAAGGGTAGAAGCATTCAGTAGCTGAAGGAGCCCAAGAAGCTCATGTTGCTCTTTGAAGCTCAAGGAGGTGGTGGCTGGGATGTGGCAGAAACTATGAAGTTCTGAAAGGAAATGGACTTCTTATATTGACAAGGCAGCGAAGTTCTGGAGGGTGGCTTTGACTTGACTGTGGTTTTCCTCCCTTTTGTGGCCAGTGTATCTCCCTGTGTTTTTTGGTTTGTTTTGTTGGGGGTTTTTTTGTTTGGGTTTGGTTTACAATAAAAATAAAAACTGTTGTTGAAGCATCATTGTAGCTGGTCAAAAGATATTCCAGTCCTGTCCCTCAGAATTTTTTTACTATTCTATAGACCGTCTACTATGCATTTAGCTTATAAATAAGAAGCTTTCTCTCAATAAAGACTTATTCATTATTTTTGCAGCAATAATTTTCCAAGTACCCAAATTTTCAATGGGAAATTATCCTAGCTTTCTATTACTGATTGCTCCAATTTGTGTCTCAAATCTTCTTGCTCTGTATCTCCTCCTGAATGTTGCCAGATTTTTCTATCTAAGGAAAAGTTTCTTTTCCATCTGTTCATTCCCCAGTGTAGTCTGAGGACTTCTGCTTGCCACTTTAAGTGCTTTCATGGTCATTTTCTCAAATAAAAAGTGAATCATTTGAAAAGGAAAAAAATTCTGAAGCCCTTAGGAAAATAATTAAATAGAATCTAATTACAGTAGGACTGCTAGTTATTCTCAGTGATTTATACCTGGGATCTTCCTAGTTTCTGCAAAGATGATTCTGGAAATTATTTCAGGATACTTGTTAAGAAAAAGTTAATTAGCTTTTTTGAATGCAATCTAAAGATCTTATTACATGTTTTTACTCCTAAATAAACATTTCAGAGCTTCAAATACTGAACATCAGGTGTCTGTATTGCATATCTGAATGAAAACATTTTTGCTTTATTTGCTTGTATTGTGGTATTGTTCAATCACTAGCACATCTTGTACTGTAGCAAAGGAAAACACCATCCTTGACAGTCTAAAAATGCAGACTACAAACAGATCAGTGGAAGGCAATTCAGTGCTTAAGTCAGTACTGCGAGTCAAGATGAAAGTGTCTTGTCAGTTCTGTTGTATTTCTTTTCTGAATCTATTTCCAGCTGGTGACACGTAAGTAACGTAGCCACTGCATTCATTAGTCTTCTGAGGACATTTGCAAATAGGAGGAGCTCTGGTGCAGAGTAGCTCAGGAGGAGAGTCACAGCAAAAGTTCTTAGAAGAGGAACACAGAGGTGATGTGCTGAGACACGGCCGTATGTAGTTATATGGCAGTTTATGGAGGAAGGAGGAGGTGGGCAACTGTTCCTTGCAGCATTTTCTGCTCAGTCATTCATTGCCTATCTCTTCAAGTGGTGGTTGAGATGCTATTGCTCTTACCTGAATGTAAGGATATTGGCACCAATGAAGTAGCAGTTGGATTGCAGAAACATATGTCCAGGTATTGGTGCCTAACAGCACATTTAAATGTGCAATTGTCAGATATGGACTGATATAATTCAAGCTTCCAGGATAGTTCTACAAGTCAGTGCATCTATCAAGTTGGAAAATGTGTCTCATGGAACATAGATTTGCTGAAAGTAAGCATCACTGAGTTTCTCAGTAGCTTCTGTACTAGATTTATTAAAGAAATCATGTCTTTCTAATTGTCAGTCTTGTGAATGCAGCTTTACAAAATGAAATGTAAGATCCAAGGAGGAGGGAAGGAAAATATGTAATACTCCTTTCTCTCGCTCCCTACCCCACCTTTTTTCCAGAGCAAAAATCCTGCTTTTATATTTGCCTAGATGCGTGAACTTTTACTAGGCTGTCCTAGCAAAGTTGGTGATGGAAGGGAAGATCATGTTTAATATTTCGGTTTAGTGCACCAACATGGAAGAGTAAGTTAGTTTGTTTGGAAGGTGCAGTTTTAGGGGAGTATCGCTTACATAATCAGTTCTTAAGTTCAAGCAAAGATGATGGGTATTTGTGTTGCAGTATTGTATTTGATATCTCTGGCAAGCCCCCAAATCTTTTTTCTGCAGGCTCTATGACATTAAAAGAATTGAAATGTAAGAAACTTTACATTAATCAAATGAAATATTTGAGCAGCTTTAATAAACATGTTAAGACCAGGCCCCTGAAGTCTGGAAGATCCAGTGTTGTTTTGGTTTGGGTTTTTTGTTTTTCCAAATTGGGGATTGGGGTACGCTGCACCGTGTTTTGAAAGAGCGAACTGCTGCATAACTGGCATTTGAAGGCATTTGAAATGTGAGAAATGCCCTGGTTAACATATCAGCAGGTTGAGCTTCACAGAGATAATGTTGCATTGGCAGTGTTGTACAGTGAATTATATGCATACGTGCACTCAAACTGTCTTTAAGCAAACCATGAAGCAAATCATCTTGAAGCAAAAGATACTCGATAAAGGTGCAATATATTTTTCTAATATTTATTTGCAGTCATCTGGAGTAGAGCTTTACCCCAGAGGGTGAAGTCTGTAACCTCCCTTGCTGTTGCATGGTAGGAGCATAGGTTTGAGGGAGCTTTATGTCTCAGAGAGAGCATCTGAAGGGGGAGGGAGGAGTGGTAACGTTTTCCCCAAATCATGTGCTAGGGGTTAAAGGACAGCCTAGGGGGGGATTATGTCCACAGATACAAGGCTGTTTGGAGAAGCTGTTTTACGGAACTTTAATCATTCTTGGCAGCATGTCTTCTTGGAGAAATTTAAGGGGAAAATATCTTGTGTGTTAATTTAAAATAGTATTTTGTTTAACGTATCTAGAGCTATAGATCTCCCCATTCCCGCATGAATAGTGCATACATGTTTTTTGGTAGTACGCTTGTTCTGATTATTACTTTAAAAAATTGTCTTTCAATCTAACAGTTTTGGAACTCCTTTAAGAACTAGTTGTTGGTGGGGAGGGAACAAGCTTGGTGGTTCTGATCTTAAGGAAGTCCATCAGAGATTTAGATCTTTTCTCAAAAGCCAACTTTGGTTTTGCCTTTGTCAGAGAATCTCTAGATTTTTTTATGCGTTTGAGAAGTTACCTTCTTTTAGTGTCTACATATTACACAAATTTAACTATGGGATGTCCCGCACCTAGGCTTTCTTGCTTCTTTGGGTGGAGGATCACTTACAGAGGTGGGGGGAGGCAGATATTGTTGTGTTGGTTTTGTTCTTTTGAGAGGACCATATCGCTTTTAGGTATCACTTCAAATTTCCCTAGGTGTTTATTTGGCTAATGCTGCTTTTCTTTCTTACCAGAAAAAACAAACACTTTTAGATATTCTTTTCCTTTAGTCCTAGCATGTTTGATTAACCTACCACTGGGAAAACCTTTTGTATGGTATCTTTTTGTATTTATTCCTGCTCTCTTCTGATGTGACTTTTAGGCTGTGTGTTAAAATACCAGAAATGCCAATGATGGACTTAGCTGAACCCATATACATGGCTTGGACTCTAAGCATGTTTTCACTAGACCTTAGGTAACTGCCACCTCCTTGGAGTGGAAATGGGCATTTCTCCCCTTCTGCTGGGCATGGTGCTTCTATCTTAGGCTTCATCACCTGGGGAAAGTCAGGGTAGTGATTAGTGACCTTAATTCCTTTAAAACACTTCAAAGACGCTTGTATCCTAAAATGAGAGATAGAAGTCAGTTCAACTTTGAAAGTCCTCATTCCTTGGTTGTTAGCTGGAGATATGAAGTCAGGTGGAGCTTGGAGTACCATTTTGGCTCTTATTTTTGTCTTGTCTGCTAAAACCAAGGTATGGCTAACAATTACCTGAGAGACAATCAAGAATTACAGATACATTTGAAATATATTGATTACATTCTCACTTACTGATCATTCAGGTTATTGTCTTTCAGGGAGGATGACCAAAAATCCTAAGACACTTCTGGTGACGTTTAGAATCCTCAAATTCTTTTTTTGCTCAAGTTCTATGCAGAATTTGATACACTGAGTTATGTTATGGTACATGGTATGGTGCAGTACTTTAGGTCATTATGATGGTTGAGAAAAGCAAATGATTTATGGTAAGGTTAAGTCTCTCAAACTTCTGTTAGATTGTGGGTAGTTTCTTCAAATGGACTTGGACTTTCTTCCCATTCCTTCGAACTTATTTTTCAAAAAGTCTAGATCATGAAGGGAAGTCCAGGAGGTCCTGAAGTGGTTACGTGACCTGGTGGAGTAGAAAAGTTTCATTCCCGAATTCCCAGAAGCAGAGTTCTAGATACCTAGGTGTCAAGACTCACCAACCACAAGGAAACTGGAGGCATGGGGAATAAATGTAGCCTCTTTCTCTATTTTAATGGAGAATTTCAACTGTAGTGGGAAAGTATGACATTTCTGTTGCTGAATGAAGGCACGGAGACAGTCTTTTGTACCCCAGCAGTCTTTTATGTACTTTTGGAAATGCAAAAGATTATAGAAGACTACCTAGTGTAAAAAGTTGAGTACACTTTGATGGAGTATTATGGGTGCAGTGTTAAAAGAATTTTCTCAAAGGGTGGGCTTCAGCTGGAGCAAAGACTCCTGTTCTATTTTTGGCATCATCCTGTGTTAATGAGCCTAAAATAAGTATCTCCTAGTAGTTCTAGCTCTGTACTGGAAAATAATTAAGTCTTTCTGTAAATATATTGTAAACTTCTGTTTTTCTTATTTTTCGTTACAGGAGCTAGAGTTAATGCCAAAGACAGCAAATGGTTGACTCCTTTACACAGAGCTGTGGCGTCTTGTAGTGAGGTATGCTTTTTTTTTGATTGATTGCTTTGTGTTAAAATAAGACATCTCAAATTACCTTCTGTTCTCTGTTTGGTTTTTATAAAGTGAAACTACTCCAAATGTTTGGAATTGCAGAACACTTGCAACAGTTTGTGTGGAGAGTATATATGTCATGCATGAGTGGGAAGAAAGGGAAAAACTATAAATTTCCGGTTCTCAGGTTTGCTCTCTGTTCAAATGCCATTACCCTAGCAGAGAGGATTCTGCATGCAGTGTTCTCAAGTCCAGGTTACTTCTCTTAAGGTAACAAGAATGGTTCGGTGTGAGGGAAGTAGAGGTGAAATAAGGTTTAGTACAGCTTTTACAGCATAATCTTTGCATGTCTTCATTTTTTACGTGCTTACCTGTTCAGGTGCTGAAGAAATAAAGGGTTCTATAAGGCCTGCAAACATATTTTTCAAAAAAGCAGTTAATGAGTAATGATAGTAAACACTTTAAAAGTTATAAATGAAATACATTGAATTTTTTTTGAAGTCTACCAGTGACACAATTGTGAGAATATAATAATGTAAGAAATGAATTTGTTGTTTTTCTCTACTGTTCATGTCCTAATAAAAATTTTAAATGCCTGTAGAAGATCAAAACAGAGAAATGCTGAGCTTGTTATGTGAAAGAGTTTATGCAAAACTATCTCCTTTGAGATCCTGAGTCAAATTGATGCTCACTTCAGTATGTCTCAAAAATAAAGGGTTTTTAAAGATTCTGTGTAAAATTTTGTTTGAGAAGATGGAATTGAATATTTCGGTTTTGGCAAGCATTGAGCTTCGAGTATTTGATCCAAGAACTATCTAAACAAGCCTTGTTTCAGTTTTTGTTTTTGAATTCCCTGGATAAATTGCATTATTTTGTCACTAGCATTAATAGCCAAGTTATGTGGAGATTGTTATTCAAAACAGTGTTTGAAAATTAATCTCCAAGGGTGCCTTACTCCCAAATGCTGTTTGTTCTTCTTGAGGTATTTTTAGGCTGCTCCTTTGGGAGCTGACCAAAGCACCACATACTGCATTTTTCAGAGCTGAGGGGCAATAAGAGCTCCTTATATCAGTAATGCTTGTAGAGAGGAGTGCTGCAGACAAACCAGACGTAAATGAGAACTTTAAGAAACGCAACCATGGCCATTTTTTTAAATATGGACTATTTTAAACAAAATACTAACCAAATGCAAATGAAACATGTGAACCAATCCGTCTACCCTAAAAGCAATGATAGGTGCCTGTCAGACACAGTAAGTCACAGGAGCACACCAACATAGATGGAGAGGTGGTTGGTGCGTGTAGGCACTGTGTTCCAGCTGACAGCCTTACATGGGTTTTTAGGCATTAGATGAAAAAAGCTGTAATGAAAAAAACCTTGATAATGATTTCAGTAAAACATCTAGACTTACTCTTGAAGCAAGTACAGCTGCAATTAAACAAGGACATTGAAGCATGCAAAATAGCTGGAATTATAGATTTAGCTGTCAACTGGGCTAGTTCAAGCAACTTCATGTCAAGACTGTCAGGTTCCAGACCTTTATATTGGTGCTGGAGCATGTCCAGAAAAGGACAAGGAAGCTGGTGAGGGGTCTGGAGCACAAGTCTGATGAGGAGCAGCTGAGGGGACTGTGGTGGTTTAGCCTGGAGAAAAGGAGGCTGAGGGGAGACCTTATGGCTCTCTACAACTGCCTGACAGGAGGGGGTAGCGAGGTGGGTGTTGGTCCCTTCTCCCAAGTAACAAGTGATAGGACAAGAGGAAATTGCCACAAGTTTCACCAGGGGAGGTTTAGATTAGATATTAGGAATAATTTCTTCACAGAAAAGGGTTGTCAAGCACTGGAACAGGTTGCCCAGGGAAGTGGTTGTCCCCCCATTCCTGGAGGTATTTAAAAGACAGGTAGATGTCGTGCTTAGGGACATGGTTTGGTGGTGGGATGGCAGTGTTAGGTTAACAGTTGGACTCAATGATCTTAAAGGTCTTTTCCAACCTAAATGATACTATGATGCTATGATTTCTGTGCCTGGTGTACTTAAAAAAACAAACAAACAACAACAACAACAACAACAAAAACCCAAAAACCAAACCAAAACAAAAAACCTTACGCAGATTCACTAATTCTTGAAATTCATTAATGCATTTGTGCAGACCAATATAAGAAATTATTTTTCTGTTAGTACTACAGTGCTTCCTTCTACAAAAGGAGTAATAGCTGTTCTAAAATTTGCTTGTTCTGATTATAGTTTTCTTAATGGTTGGTTCAAAAAGGATAGAAGTTCAAAATATTGATTAGATTTTTAAAGTACTAAACCTGCTTGTTAGAGAATAGAACCTGTTCCATTTCTCATCTAAATTACAAGCTTGTGATGCAGTATTTTCACTTTTATGTTTGTTCCTATTTCTAATTGACAGTAGAAGAAATTTGAGTGTTTCAAATGTAATTTATTGTAATATATAGAATCAAGTGTTACCTAATGTTCTGCTCGTGGCTGCTATTGTACCACATGTAATTTGAAATTTCCAGTAACTACTTGTGGTAACATATTTTAAGTTCAAAGCTCCAACCATTTATTTGTGTGCTCAGTGTTTGAGTTGGAAGTCACTGAAAGTCGTTATCAAATTGCGGGAAGGTCACGGAGTTGATGTAAAATGCGGTATTCATGGCCGTGTTGATACCACCAACAGATTTTTTTTTTTTGAATGCATTCCAATTGTGTGCACATCTTTTAAAGGGATCTGTTTATCTTGCTGTAAGAATTGCTTGTCTTATTTGTCAAATTTTCACAGCTTGTACTTTTAACAAAAGGAAATGAATAATCTTTTTGCGAGATGGAATTCAATGCAACATTTTGAAACGGTTTTCAGGAGTTTTGCAACAGTGTATGTTGAAACTTTTTGCGACCATGCTCTGTTTTATCTGTGGTTTTCTAAATGTACATTGAATAAGCTGTTCTTCTCTTTGCTGTTTCTAGACTTTGACAGTTCAAAAATTTTTCTTGGCAAATTGATGAACATGCATTGTAAGTTCATAGTACTTCACTAATCCTTAGCAATGGAAGAAATCCTAAAGAGGTGTATTGAGCTTTGGAAATTAGTTGTGATGACAAAAACAATTTGCCAGCCGGCTTAAGGAACTGGATAAAAGCCCTGGAAATGGTCACTTAGAGTTGAATCCTATAGGGATGATATTGCTCATGTTCTTGAGAACATCACCAAATCTGGATTTATGATAAAGTACAAACCCCAAAGCATAAGATAATGTTTACCAAAGAACAAAGTGTAAATAGTTATATTCCATTATACTGTCCTTGGATTTAAGGCTGGCATTTCAAATCTTATACTAAGTGGCCCGGGTTTTTTGTAAATGCTTTCAGGATGCTGTTCAGGTGTTGTTAAAGCATTCAGCAGATGTCAATGCTCGTGATAAAAACTGGCAGACACCCCTACATATAGCAGCTGCAAACAAAGCTGTGAAATGCGCTGAAGCTTTGGTGCCTCTCCTAAGCAACGTAAATGTGTCTGATCGAGCAGGCAGAACTGCATTGCATCATGCAGCCTTCAGCGGACACGTTGAGGTAAGAGTTATTTTTCTTAGCTTGTTTCCCTCTCATCATTCTATCCCTCACATTTCTAATGTATAGTTTCTTGGTTTAAAATCATGCTTCTCCCAACACTTACTTTGTATTTGAATTTGTCTTTGGTATGCATCTGTGTACAGAATGGTTGTGGAAAATACATGTTGCATTATTTAGTTGGAAGGTTATTACAGCGTTCACCTTAACACAGAAACAAATTTGCCTGAGGTAAGTGGAGTTAAACTAGTAACAGATACATTTAAAATGAAAAAAAGGAAATACTTTTCTGTTCAGTAGATAGTGAACATATGGAATGTGTTGTCACTGAAATGTGGAGAAAATACACATAATAAGCTATAACTCACTGGTTTTCAAGCCCTGAAAAATGACTGCTGAGAAATTCATGTTGTAATTGTGTACTGGTAATTGGAGACAAATTGGCAACAGGCTTGCTCTTAGTGATTACCTTTAGTGCATCCCTAATAGTCTGAAGATTTCAAAGATTCCACAGCTTTGCCATATTTAACTAGGAAATGTTTGCGTTGACATTGAGTTTTGTGTTCCTTACAGTCACTTCATTGTTGCCGCTGAGGGGGGCAGCCAGTTTTTTCAAGCTTATGGAATATTCAACACATTTGAAAACACACATACTCTTGTTTTCTCCTGTGATTTTCTTTGTCTAACTTTGAGTTTTCCATTATGAGTAGTATACTCTTGTTTTCTCCTACTCTTGTTTTTCTCCTTTGTCTAACTTTGAGTTTTCCATTATGAGTAGAGGATTTCTTTTCTTTCTGTTTATCTCAGATGGTCAGCTTACTGTTGTCTAGAGGGGCCAATATTAATGCGTTTGACAAGAAAGACAGACGAGCTATACATTGGGCAGCATTTATGGGTATGTACATATTTCAGCTGTTTACTATTGCAATAGTAAAAAAAAATCACCTTATGTATAGTGGTTTAATATATTTCTAGGAAAAATATTTACATTGTGAGCATTAAGGTTATCTGGTGTCTGCCAGGACACCATTAATAGTAGACTTCAAATTACCATGTAAATAGTTTTTGTGGTGAGAAAAATCAATTTGTTGGAAAAAGAAAAGTAAGGTAAGTAATTTTGTTCTTTAAAAAGAAGGAACTATGTCCCTCAGTCAGCAGGAGTCTAATCACAGGTGAAAACTTCCACAATAATGCTAAATAGAAAGTGAGCAATTAATACAAGGGGCACCTGAAACAGAGGACTGTTATACCAACCTTGGGGATTGTATTTTAAAAGAATAATTAATCTCTAAAACTCCAAATTCTTGCCTTGCCATTCTTATTCCAGGAGTATTGGTATTGATCAATGTGCTGGCAGTACTGTCAGTAATGTACTTCATTGCCTTTTATCAGCCTTCCTTTTTTTTTTTTTTAAAGTGGTAGGAATTGTTTCCTTCAGCATAGCTATAATAAATAGTAGAGCTTTGTATCTCAAGCTTCATTTAAAATATGAGCAATATAAACCATTGGAAGGGGACTCATAGAAAACACAGATTAAGAATTCTAGGCCGACATTGACAGAGACTTCTTAGCTTTGGCTAATTGTTGTTTCTAAGTAATTCACATGCAACTGCAGATTGTATTTGTCATTGCAGAATATGTTGTACCTGTTCACAAAAGAAAAAACAGAATGCCTCTTCTAACTTCCAGAAAATGTCTAAAACCGCCCTTGAACCTGTGCAATATGGGTCGTATATGAGCAGTGAACAAGGAAGTTTCAGCATCAATTTCAGGAAGGAGCCAAGTTGAGATGATTCCATGGTCTTGATTGTTATTCAGTATTTTAGTTTATTGCTTCATAATTTTATCCAGCCAAGGAAGAAGAATAAAAGCAGTAGCATCAGTATTGTATGAATATGCATGGTTGGGAATTTTTTCAAAGATGAAATGAGGAAATAAGACTTCATTATATGTATTTGTTTTGTTCCTGTTATGTTTTGATGATCTGCATTTTTCCTAAGTTTTAAATCCCCAGAAATACATATCTATATGCCTAAGATACCATCTTACAAAAATTAGAGGAGAAGGACAGTCAGGAAGAGAACACAGTCCTGTTACTTATGGCAACTTTTTTTTTTTTCAGAGGTGATCTAAAAATATGAACATTTTTGTTCCAATTAAGAGGAAGATACTTCTTGGAATGACTATCTCAGTGAAAACCTTTATATATGGGGTTTCCAAAGGAGTACCTTGTATTTTTGACGAACATTTAAGTTAATGTACAGGGAGAGAACTATCTATACTGCCCCTTCCCTGATTGAAACAAACTAATTTTACTGTATCTGGTACCAAACCAAAAAATAAACACTCACAAGGTAGGAAATTACATGGACTCATTACGCTGACATCTCTAAGTCTAGGTTAACTCTGATTTGGAGGCCTGATCTTGGGCGAAATGCCCCTCCTTGTGTAGTTTGGTATTAATGCTCACTATTATGAATGAGAGAATTACTTACAAATAGGCTGTGTAATGTGTGTGTGTGGGGGTGGTTCTTAAAAAACAGACTTAAGGTTGCTAATTAAACATATTTCTCATCTGTGATTCTGTGGCACTGAGTACCTTACATAACTGCTTTGGAGTTCTTATGTTTATCCAAGCAACGTTTCCAAGTCTTGCCAGGAGAGACCAAATGGAAGCAGTAACTTCAAAGTGGAAATACAATCTTAAACTTACATGCTGAGCAAAACAAAAGAGCACTACCACGTGAGGCATACTTAAAATATTTTTTTAATACATTAAAATTTTTACAGTATTTTTAAATACTTTCAATACAGTCACCAAAAGCCTTACCCTGAGTTTTGGGGGTTGCTAATGAGTTGTTCATTGTATGAAATGATCTTCTCACAAACATCTGGATTCACACAAAAGCAGAATTATTAACTGTTGTCTTTGCACAACTCTGTGTTTCAGGCCAATCTAAAATTAGTCTTATGTCCCTGACAATAAAGGTCTGAAATAATCTGATCACAATGTGAAATAAGGTTGTGAAATCCATATGTGAAATGCTAAAAAGACCCTGCTGACTGTCTTCAGAGGAAAAGACTTGAATGTGTCAGTGAATTATGCACTGATCATCACAGTGTTAATACTCATAATTTGAAGCTGTATGATACTGCACTTCAAGTACTGATACCAGTACTTGAAACTGAGAAATTAAAGAACAATCTTCATTATTGAGCCAACGTTCTTTGTGATATTTTGTATTACTATTTTATAATCTACTTACATATTCAAAGCAATGTCTGTGACAGGCTGTCCAACCACCTTACTCAAGGTGATGATTTGCAAAATTTTGTTGAAACTTGTGCGTGAGAATGTCTGAGTAAGGTGGTTGGACAGCCTGTCCATTGCTCGTCAGATCTCTGCCATCTCACGCACAAGTTTCAACAAAATTTTGCAAATTGACGAGCGTCAGTGAGAGGTCAGAGATGTTTTCTGGCTTGTGCTCACCTAGATGAGAGAAAAGTCTGCTATTTTTCACACAAGCTACATTTATTCCTGTTTTAGTTAGTGCTATTTCATAGGTTATTGACAGGAAACTCTGTTACTGAACAGTATTTGGGTGGGAAAAATGTAATTTATCTGATGTTGATCAACCTAAATACCCTTGCAGTCAACAAAGTAGAAAAAGCTTTTGAAAATCTTCAAACAAGTAAAAAAAACCCTCTGACATTCTCTCTTGCAATTTAGAGCCATTTTACGCTGCTCCAATTGTTTAAAGAAAGCCTTAAAGCTTTTCCACCATACAAAACTGACCACAGAATAAAAAAGAAGTTATGCTTTTCGTCACTGTACTATAAATAACTTTCTAGGGTTATATCCATTGTTTTCCTTCCTTCCTGCTTTTCACCCGGCTCCATTGCTGTCCAGCTGCAATGCTGCGACTAAAATGGACTTTCATTCTCGCGTGCGAGCGTCGCCCTCGTTAGTGTGTCGGGAGGTCTCCTCGGCGCTTCCCAATTGAAGTACCTTGCTCTTCTGTTTGAGTGTCTTCCACTGATTGCTGCTTGCGTTTTCAGTGCAGGTCAGGGATTTTTGGTGGTTTTTTTCTTCTCTCTAAGTTTTTCTGCCACTGTTCTGTTCAGCGTCTCTCTTCCTTTCATGGCTTTCAGTATCTCCTGTACTCCGTCTCTCATATAGTGCTTGTTTTCATTCTTGTCCCTGTTGTATTTGGGTTAGAAGATGAATATCATGTTTGCATTTCTCTTTCTATTCCTTCCTATTATACTGAAGTAATTCAGAAGTGAAATGTTGCATCACTTCACATTGCACTGGTAAACTCTATGTTTCTGTTTGTTACAGCTAGGTGAAATCTTGGGGTTTTATGCTGTGGGGCATGAGCATAAAATAGGTATCATGGTGACTGAATGTTTATCAAAACAGCTGGGTCTATTTCTTTTCCTATTCAAACTTTTGCAAATTCTCTTAGTCATTGGGAAAGCAAAGACCCTCACTTTTTATGAAACACTTAAACTGAAGGCTAGATTTGATACTTTCTACTTACGTATCTGACTGGATAAGCGTAAGTATTCAGTGTGCCCCTCACCACTCTTTTTAACTAAGGTAAGGGTGTCACTTGAAAGGTAAAAGTAAGAATCCCGCATCCGTCTGGGACAGTTACAAAGGTAAAGCGCTGAATGTATCGTGCTCTCCACTAATGCAAGTGGGCTCCTTTATTCTGCAGAATTTGTCACGATTAACCGTGTGTTTTCAGTCATTGACTTGTTTGGCGGTTAAATTAACAACTGAGCAAGAATGACAGGGTTTTTTGGTTACCCTGTCTTCATAGCTTTTGTCTCAGTGTGCGGTGTCACAGCTGCATGCAAGCCAGCGGGGGAGTCTGTGGGCATGGTGAAGGAGAAAGCTGGTTGCCCTTTGCATCAGTGGTGTGGTTTTGGGGCCCCTGGCCCAGCCACAAACCTGGAGGCGAGAGCGACTGCCCACTACTTCAGGGTGGGCTCCCTGCCCTCCCTTCCCTTTTCCGCCCTCATTCCTGCAACACCCCCCAGGTCATCCCTTCCCCATGACCCTGCTCGACACTTTCTCCTCCCAGTGACTTAGGAGAATAGTTGATGCGTTCAAAAGGATACGGTTCCTCAGAGGCCCAAGTCAGTTTTGAAAATAGAGCTTTGCTAAATCCTGTAGGATTTGGGTCAACATTTTAAAGGCTTTGCAAGTAAAGGAAGTTGGATTTTGCGGGGCATATATTTCTATTTAAAATTAGAATATTTTCTTCTTTTCATATTTGTGTAATTTTTTTTAAGTTTATGCTGAAGGCCTTAAAAACCTCAGCGGGTGTTTTTGCAGTTGAGGTGAAGGTGGAAGACTGACAGACACATTCTCTCTCAAGTTATTAACAGAAATTTGCAGTAAATGTTTAAGAATTACAAAGTTATTTCACCTCTCTTGTTCTCAGATCTTCCCCAAAAATCCTTCTGTGTAAGCAGAAGACAAGATATTTTTATTTTTTTTTTAACATACAAGATTATTTTTGCAGTATAAATACTACGATTATTGGAGGGGGTATGTGGAAATACTGTCTTCTGAAGATGAATATTTTATGTTGCTTTTATAATTCATGATACAATCAGAATACAAAAACAATTCTTTATTTTCCAGATTAGGTACAAATGAATGATGTCTTGTTCATGTTATAACAATTGTACAATTATTAAGTTTGTAAACTTGTGCTGGTTAATATAAAATGCAGCTTCATTCTTTTTGTCTGTATTCTTTTAGGTCATATTGAAGTTGTGAAATTACTCGTGGCCCACGGAGCCGAAGTGACGTGCAAGGACAAGAAATCGTACACACCTTTACATGCTGCAGCATCTAGTGGGATGACCAATGTAGTCAAATATCTTCTAGATCTTGGAGTTGATGTAAGGAAGAATAAGACAAAGTGATGCATATTTTTTTTGCTGTTTGCTCCTGTTAGTATTGTAGCACACTGTTTATTTAGGGGCAGTTTATGATATAGTGAAAACAGTATTTCCAAATACCTTCATTCACGTGCTTTTTTTTTCCTATAAAACCTCATTCCCCCAAGTAACTTAAGAGCCTTGCAGATTTTGCACAATTTGGAAATAAATTTATATTTAGTAGGGCTTTTGTTCATTTGATATTTCTTACTCGTAGTTCATTGGACCGGAACTCAGGAAATAGGTATGCTGTTCCTAGCTTTGCCACACAATCCTTTTTGAACTGCAGGAAATTAAACCCTTTTGCTTCAGTTGTTTGTAAAACATAGATGTTATTTACTTTATCTTACACCACATAAGTTTGGAGAAACACTAGAAATTTCAGTACTACAGTAAGGAAGGCCGTATTAATATTGAAATGCAAAATAAATTAAAAGGCTGTACAGTACCTGCATGTAGAAAGTGTGTCAACAACAAACTGTGCAACTGTGTAAGAAATCTACATTGTGCATCACATTTCAGTCTTACAAGGCTGGAGAATGCTGCCAAAGTTCTATCTTGAGAAATAGATCAGAATTCAGTGTCACGTTGTGCACAAGAACAAATTCTACTTCTGCATGCCCCGCCCCTCCAAAAAAACCAGTCCCTTTGACCTTTGTTTTTAACGGAAACCCACAAATGCTGTTGAAAAATGATAGAGGTCCATGCTGTGCTTAGTTTGTAGTGTCTGTGCAGATTGCCACTGCCACTGTTGATGTCGTTTCCACATGGGTGTTCTGTCAAGTTGTGTACAGGAAGCTGGTGTGGAGACAATTGGAGGAGGTTGGCTCACTCGTAAAGCAGTTGTACTCTTCCTGGTACACACTGCTCCATCAAAGTACTACATCCCAAACTTGCTTTTAATTTCTGCTTTTGAAGAGTTCCAAAACTTAGTGAAGAAGTTGTCTCATGACATGAGATTTTTCTTTGTCATAATTAAACGCTGCAGTAATACAGGTTTTTGCCTACTAAGTAATCTTGTTGGTTTTTTTTTTTTTTTCTCTGATAGATGAACGAACCAAATGCCTATGGAAATACTCCTCTCCATGTAGCTTGCTACAACGGACAAGATGTTGTAGTGAATGAACTCATAGACTGCGGTGCTAATGTAAATCAAATGAATGAGAAGGGTTTTACACCTTTGCACTTTGCTGCTGCGTCAACACGTGGAGCATTGTGTTTAGAGCTTTTGGTCTGTAATGGAGCAGATGTAAATTTGAAGGTAGGTGAATCCAAAGCCATCCATTCACTCTTAAAGAGGCAGTACGTCTTTATCAGAGGTAATTTTTCAAAATCATTGTTACGATAACATTTAGAAGTTCCCACTGATTGATGGAGTACTTCTGTGAAAAGGACTATCAGGACTAGAAAAAATGAGCCAGTATGTTGCTTCAAGTAACTTGATCTGAATCTGGAAACCTCAATGGGATGTAGTAAACAGCCCAAAAGGATAAAGAAGAAAGATGACAATACTGTCTGGTCAATCTTGATGATATTTAAATGTCAGAATTCCATATGTCTTCCCTAGTCTATCCATATGAGTAATAGCAAATCATATGGAAAAATGCAAAAGAACATGTGTTTCTTAGAAATAAGCAGCATTAATGAAATCAAGGATATTTCAGAGAAATGTGTATGAACAGGCTAATTGCTAGAGCGGTTGAAGAGCTGATAACATAAGGTCCTAAAATCTAATTAGTAAGGGAGAGTTGTGAAGGGTGTATTAAAAATACAGATGTAAGTAGATGAGGCCAATGCAGTGTCTTAAACATCTGGTTTTTCAATTACTCCAATAAAACTTTGTGAGCAGAGGCAGTACATGTTTGACATCGCTACTTGGTGACAAGTCTTTGGCTGCAGAATATTCCTTACAGTCTAGTCTTAATGTACGCAGAATTTCTAATCCACACAAGCATAAAAGCAAACTATAACCTATATCTTTTATTATCTTCTCAAGTGTGTAGGGTAAGGTCTTGAGAAGTGAGCGAGAGAGATGTGAGACCTCCTGTTTTGTATTGAGTTGATTTTTATTCTAGTAATGAAAACTTAATGGTGTTCAGAAATACTCAGTGGCAGTATCTGGTGTCCTGACAGGTTTTGGGATGGGGAAGTGGGACTCAGGTATGTGGAATGAAGAGTCGAAGTGTTCCTCTTACAAAATATCTAATTGCCTGTACTGTAGCCCATATATGGTAGGATGAGAATTGTCTATCCTTTTGTTTCTTAAATGAATAAATATATCTGTTTAATAGAGTTATGCCTGAATTTCAGCACATCTGGATAGGAGGTGAATATTAGAATAGCTAACACTTCTGTTAAAAAACATGGGGTTTGTGGCTCACTTTGTGTAAGATATTCACACTGATTTTCAGCTAACTAATTCTAAAACACAATTTTATATCTATTGTTAGTACAAAATCTGTATCCCACTGAAAATTTGCGTGTAATTTAAAAATAAGCTGCTTGATGTGGAAAAGTCTTAGATGTATGTTACCGTTCACTGTTACATATATTTAAACATGCAGCTCCTTTAACGAAAACATACTTAAACTCAGTTGTGGAAAAATTAATCACCAAAGCACCCTGGAGAAGTAAGGAGCTGTGCTACAGGGTTTATTGCCAACTTGTCCTAAAAGACATAGGTCACAGTCCATTTATTTTTGTTGCCAGCTTTCTGCTCTACATAATGTCCCAGACTGGATATGACACAGGGTTTAGCCTTACAGGGCTGACTTCTGTCCTACATTCTTGAAACATCATTTCTTAGTAATGTATGTTCTGTCATGAAAACAGCCCCACAATGTTAAATATACTAATGGATATGTACATATGTTATTTACACAAATAAGAACAAAAGAGAAACATAATATTACCAAGAAAGAATTACTGTTTTCCTATGTGCTGGGTTGCAGAGGTTCATGACTTTGATGTAGACTATTTCTGATGTAGAAGAAAGAAGTGGGGAGGGCTTCATTTCAGAAAGATGTGCCGCAAGTAATGGTGGTTAGGTAGTTTTGGCTGTTCGTTTTTAAATACACCTTAATTGCAGGTTAGGAATGAAAATAAAAAACATCCAACATTCTGTTAGGTTAATTAAATACTGTTAAATATTACTCTAACCTTTATGTTTGAACTTAAAATAAGAATCTTTGTTTTACGTGTGGTATACACTGTAGATACTGACTACATTTAGTCAGTTATGACACTAAGTAACCTTAGAAATTGTGCAAAGAATGGCTAATATCTTCAAAGTGACTGGCAAAATTCCTGAATTCTTTGAAGTTTATAATGTGGGTGAACCCTTGTTTGGAGGTGACAAAAGATGTTTTAACATCAGAGAGATGTATTGTTGCTTTCTTTCCCGTTCAATTTTAAGTTATGGGAACCAAAGTATAGATTTGTCTGTTTCTGTGACTTTTTAAAAAAAAATCCGTAGAAGATTTAGTATGGGTAAACCCAGTTTTTCTCTTAAGCTTACTCTGAGATGACAGAATCATTTTTTTCTGAAACATGATAATGATGGGGCTGGGAAATGCAGCCTGAAGCATATCAGAGAGCTGAGAATTTCAGCTGAAGTCTAAGAGCTTAGGAAAGATTTGGCTCCTGAAGTTAGCTGCTTCAGAAGAAAATGTCTTTACAGTGGAAAGGGTGAGTAGCTTTAGCTATAGGTTCTGTAATTAAAACACGTTGATTTAGTAAGTATTAAAACTGCTAAGTGCAAAATTAAACAAGTAGTGTTGTGTAGTGATTTTAAGCAATTATAGCTTGAAAACAGCACTTACCCCGTTTCCGCACCAACACGTGTTTCTGTTGTAACTCTGTTAATAGAGTTTCTGTGGATTTATACCATTATGACTGAATTTGGCCTTTGAGTTTGCACCTGAAGGTGCGAACAGCCTTACTTTGTATGTGAAAACTTAGCACTTGCACTGTTGAAAAGTGCAAGAACTGAGGCAAAAGAAAATCCTTTCCCAGTCAACTTTTGTGTCCCTGGAAAGATGTATAGGGATAAACCTTGGATTTAATCAAAAGAACAATCCCTGAAAAATAGCAAAAGGAAATCGAATTAGAATATGTTGTGTAGCTAAGAGTAACTTGTAGAGTTAAAATGGGATGCTTTTAGAGCATTCCTACTAATTATTTATTGAAACCAAGCCTGTTCAGTTTCCAAATACTGAGGCTGAAGTTCATAGTAGTTCTTACAATTGTTGTAAGATGTATTTTTCTTCATAACTGTATTGCTTCTGTAATCCAATTCAATAGTTCCCTCCCATGTGCAACTGTTCCTGTGTTCTTAGAGGTAAGAGAGTGGGTATGGATGGTAATCTAGGTGCAGACTAGACCGTACTGTTAGACCACTTTCTGCTGTGGGTGACCTAGTGGGGAGAGCAAAAGGAAAAAATACTCTTATTCTCCATGGCAGATGGAGGGAGAGTGCTTGTGTGTATCTGTGGATCCCGGCCTCATCTCAAGAGGGGGATATGTAGCAGAAGATAATGGAACAGCAGAAATATGTTATATGCTTTTTATCACCTCTTTAGACAGAGGACAAAATTTCACGCTCATTTTTGTAGCCATGTCAGAGCCCATATAGTACTGTAGAATGGTGAATCCTGTTAAGTATTGCTAATTACTGCAGCACTCTCCTCACTATTCAGGATTTCCATGCATGGAAGAACACGTACAAATGAGTACGTAATGGGACAGTATTAATTGTTTTATGGGCCCCCTTGCTGCTTGAAAATTCAGTGACCTAAATAGAAAAAGTATTTTACTTCCATTGGTGATACTAGAACATAAAAATTGTTGCCAGGGGGAGATTTCACTTGGAGGAATGCTGTGACATGATAGACCCACATTCCCCCTGACCCTCAGTAAAGCTCAGTAGTCTGAGTACAGTTAATATCTGAGTAATCTCTTGATAGAGCACCTTATGCAGTGTGTTAACTCTTTCTGTCTAATAGCAATTACCGTTCTTGGGAAATTTCATATGATCTTAAGTATTTTGTGAATTGTGTTTTCTCTAGTGGTAGAGGAGATTTGGGCAATTTCTTTCCTATTACCACACACTTGAGTTTCAGTGAAGACAAGAAGTTATCATAAGTCAGACAGCTGTAGTTAACTTAATATTTAGATAGAAGACCTTAATGGCATTAAAAAGGGAAATTGAAGCAAAAGTTTTGAAGATACCTCCTTGCTTATGCAGCCCAACCTTCCAGCATCTCAGGAAACAGTACTTTGCTCAATAAATAGAGCCTTGCTGTTCCATTGCTTAAAGAACTCTTTGGCTACTGGTTCTGATTCTGTATATCCTTTCCTAGTGATAATGTCTAAGAAGGGAATTCTGAGTGCAGTCTTATACCTAGCAGTTCAACTTCAACATGGAAATTGTCCCCTTCATTTAATTGTATACCTGTTCTGTGTTTGTATGTTGATAGACAATTGTGTGTTATGTTATTCCTGGGTTGCAAAGGAACCTGAGACTGTTAGACTGGAAAGAAGCACTGTGGATAATCAAAATATTGTCTTGGAAATCTACATTAAGTGCATCTTTAAGTAAATTTGAACAGAGTAAATCTAAAATCTTTTATTGATTGTACTGTGGTTTTTCATTTACAACTGGAAAATGATTTTGTAGCTTATTTTGCTGTCGTTTGCAAGGCCTTACTCAAGTTGTCTTGTGAGGGTTCTCACTTGACCACCATGCTCCTTAATTTCGAATAGTTAAGTTATTAATACTTAATACCTTCAAGTTATTCTTATGTCTGTGTAAGGTACTTTCTTAATATTCTCAGTGAGACTTGGATCTACTTTTTTTCTGCTCCATCTTACTCCTCATTAGCCTTCCTTTGTTTAGAACATTAGTTACCAAAGCAGCTTTTGGTCACTCATTCCAACTAAGCTTATTTCATATGATCATTTTTCCTTAAATTAATTGATTCTTCAGCTTAAAGAAGGAGAAAAGTGAAGGAAACAGACAGATGTGTAACAATTGTTTTAAAGGAGGCAAATAATTGGACACAGAATATTAATGGTTGAATAATGAGAGTAGAACTAAACTGTGGGGAGAAAGATGAAAGATTAGACATTAGAAGAAAATTTTCTTTGTAAGGAAATTGGAGCATAGAGATTGCTTGGGGAAGTCATCACTTGTGATGTGTTTATTTGGCCTTTTCTTGAGGCCTCAGATGACAGAAGTAAAACTGATAGTCCGATTCTTCAAGTAGATTTCAACCCTGTTTTCTGCATTTCTTTGTGTCTGCTATGGGTATGTGAATATATCTTTTGGATTATTTATGGTCAAAGAAATCTGCTAGCTGAAACATTTGGAGATAACTTGGCTGTTATCAGGTGTTTTATTTCTTTCAATCTAGGTCTGAGAAGACAATGATTCCCATAATTGTATTGTTCTAGGTGGTGTATGCTGCTCTGTGCAGTGACACAACTAAAAATTCCACATCCAGCTCTTGTCTAAAAGGGTCTTTAGTCAGTACCACATCCATAGAAGCTTTGCCATTTGGTTCCAAAGTAGTAGTAAATATGGGAAGACACTTCTGCACCTGACAGCAATTTGTGATATTTCAATACATATGTTCGTATCCTATGTTCCCCCTACAATCCTTGTCTTTTTTAACTTTGTGTTTTGTGAACAATTTGCACTTTTCAAAGCCAGCGTTTAAAATCTAAAGATGTGGTGTGCATATGCATCTGAGAGTGCGTTTTTTTGGTTTTTTTTTCTTCTGAGTGTCATGTTTGCAATTCTTCGTTTGCATTTGTAGGAACTTTTTTCTGCAGTAAAGTTTTCCCATTACTTATGATAAAGCATGGGGGAAAAAAATCATCCTAAAGTAATAATAACAGAAAAAAACTGGTTTTGTAAGTGCATTGAGATTGTGCTGTTAAAAATTGAAATTCCCTTACACATTATTGTTGGCCTACTCGAAGGACATCTTTACTGGGTGAATGACTAAGTACACTTCTGATATGTGTGTCAAACATATAGTACCAGTTATGGTTGGATAGTTCTACCCTAGGATTATTTGTGGTTTATGATAAATTGCTTACAAATGCCACTGTACAGAAATTTCCATGAAACACATAAGCTTTTTGATGTGTTGTCTTCTAACACAATGTGTAGACCTCTGCAGTAAATACAGCTATTTTCTTTCAAGAAACAAAATTTAAAGAAGCATTGTTTTGTTTTAGGCTTGGGTGGGGGAAGAGTTGGACGTAGGCTTGTTGCTGAAGTTGTGCGCTGTCATCATCCTCTTGAGCGTGATTATCCTAAAGGCATATCTGTGAGTGAGTGGGCATCACTGAGTTGTCACTCACAGCTGGGAGAGTGACTAAGAGCAGCTCTTCTGAAAAGCTTGCCATGTCATGCTGACTTGTCACTGCCAGCAGCCGTTTTGCAGAAGTGCATAGAAACAACATAAAGGAGGGAGTAGAGGGGAGAGAAGAAAGTAAAAACATGTCCTTTTTCTTTTTTTATGTCAGTTCTGGTGGATTACTATTAATGGGCCTAAGTAAACACTGGTTTGTTTGTTGGGTTTTTTTTTTCTTTTCCAGAGTAAAGATGGGAAAACACCTTTGCACATGACAGCGATCCATGGTAGATTTTCAAGATCTCAAACCATCATTCAAAATGGTAAACAGGGGGAGGGAGTAGTTTTGTCATCAGCTTTCCAGTATTACAAATATTTTCCTCTTCTTGTGTTGATAACAATGTACTGAATTTTTTTCATATCCCATGTCCAGGAGTAGTTCAGTTAATGACGAAGTCTGGCATATCTGCTTGTAAAGTTTGTGAAGTTGCATTGAAGAAGCATTTTTTTTTTTTCAGAATGCAAGAAAATATATTAATCAATTAATCTCTTCCATAACCCAGGTTGACAGAAAGCTTGTCCCATGTAGTTACATAATAAAATGCTTCTCTCTATTTTGCTTATTATTAATACTAAATACCACTGAAAGCTGTATAGATTTTTAAATCCAAAGTAGTTATTCATGGAGAGTTATTAATGTTGCTTAAATTATGATCAGTGCTGTTTTTCTAACAAAAGTATCTGTATGCCTATGTATATTCTTACTTAGTAATTACGTTTTATTATAGGAGCTGAAATAGACTGTGAAGATAAGAATGGAAATACTCCTTTGCACATAGCAGCTAGATACGGCCATGAGCTATTAATCAACACTCTGATTACGAGTGGTGCTGACACTGCAAAGTAGGTAACTTTACTGACATGAATGCAAGCTGAGAGAATTTAGAAATGTTTTTATTAGATTAACAAGACTAGTGTGATTTTTTTTTTTAATACTGTCTTCAACTTGAAATAGGAAATACTTTGTGTATTATCCTGTACTGTACTTCTAAATAGCTACTCAGTACATCACAATTTATACAAAAAGAGAAATAGGGTTTTTTTCCTCTAATGTATTTGAAGTAAAAGCTCTGAAAGTTTTAACGGCAGATGCATTCAGTGCAACAGCCTAGCTTCTAAGAAAGCATTTAATATGTGAAGTTTTTCTAAGGCTCAGTATTCTAGGTGGTTTGCTGAACCCGCCATGCACGTGCACTTTGGCACGCAATCATGTTTGTTTTATTTTAATTGTAATGAAACTGTGATACCTGATTATGGTGTATCTTAGGCGGGGTATACATGGGATGTTTCCTCTCCATTTGGCAGCATTAAGTGGATTTTCAGACTGCTGCAGAAAGCTCCTCTCATCAGGTAGGATACTCTTTAAAAATATTACAGCTGCTTTGTACTTTGTTTACTTATTCCATAGAATTAGCTTTTAATTAAGTCTAAATTTAGTAATAAATAAAATTCTTCATAGTTCATTAGTAACCTGGGGCCAGTGCTTGTTTTTTTTAATGGGCAGTCCATAGTTAAAGTGAATGCAAACTTTTACAGAAGTAATTTTTTAAAAAAAAATGACCCAAATTGAAATAATGTGTCTATAACTACTTAAATGTTGTGTTTGTGTGCTTTAAGTTGGCCTTAGAGGTGGGATGACTGCTTCAGACCATAATTTCAAGGCAAAAGACTAATGTTCTCTTAAATGACTTCATGGAGCATCCTCCATTTCCCCTCCATGTCTTTAGCTTAATACAGACTGGTCTATTCCTGTCTGTTCATGTGGTGGGCACCTAATAACTCTCAAGATTCTGTGGACTGCGACATTAAGAAACATTGGTGATTTATTATTCATTAAATGCAACCTGAACTGTGCTTTGCTTTCATTGTTTGACTCCTCCCTGAAGTTGCGGAGGGTTGTAAGGTTATTACTTCCCTTGTTGTCCAGAGTCTGCTCTGGTGTGAATTGTGAGCCCTTTGAAACATTGCAATTCTGAAAAAGTAGATTTGTCTGAAGGATTGTGGAAGCTTCAGGAAGAGAAGAAGAGGAAGAAATTAAGTGATTCTACATTAATTTGAAGGCACCTCATGTTTTTTGAAAAAAGAAAAGTGAGGGACAGAGGGTTGGGGAAAAGGAAGAGTAAGAAGTTGCTTCCCCAGCCTTACATTGTCTGCTAGGGAAGCCTGGGAGAAGAACTAAAGGAGTATAACTAAAACTACCACCGGTAAGGCGTTTTATTTTACTGTCCTGTCATGGACAAGCTTGCAAGGATTTGCTCCAGGAAAACTGTCCTATAGTTCACTATATTACAATTTGATGCATTCAAAATGAGGAATACTCTGGGTTTTTTCTCCTTTCTGCTCATGGTGTTGTGCTGGCTGTGCCCTTACTGGAGATTCAGTATGGCAAAGGAGTCCCTGTGGAAGACCTGCAAGTGGTTTCTGTGACTTTTACATGAGTTGAGCAAACCTGGATATAAATCTAGCCTGGAGCAGATAAGGACTTGAAGAGTATGTTCAGCCTTCAGACTGGAAAGACTAGATGCTGCTAACAGCTTATTAGTACATGCTTTTGGTGTGGGGATTGGTATCTGCAGACTATGTGCCCTTTTGATTCTGGGAGGAAGAGTCTCATTTATGTAAATTAAGAATCTGATTTTTAAATTAATTAATATTCATATTCAGACCTTTAAAAAAAAAAAAATCATCAATCTGCCTTGTCCCAGTGCTGAATGATATTTAGGTAGTGGTGTTAGACAAGCAACCTAGGGGGGTGGAAAGGCATCAAAGACTACTTTTCAGATCAGATTGGTAAGCTATCTTAAATTGTTTGCTGTATATCCCTGCCTATTGAAATGGGAGGAGAACGTAGTGGTGCATACAAAACCTATGTTTTGGGGGATATGGAGTAGGAAAACAGTCTTGAATATTTGTACTCTTGAGTAACACATCCTGTGTTGTTCGCAATTTATTGTTGTTGAACAGTTCTTAACAAGAAAGGGTGGAGACAACTTGCATTCCTAGGCAAAACTGGAGATCTAATGAATAAGTTTTGTTACACAAGAGCAAGACTTCTAGGAGAATATACTAGTTTTCTCAAACCAAAAGTGTAGCTTTGAAACATGATTCAAATAATAATCTTCATGTCAAAGCATATGGTTACATACAGAATTACACAGTTAAAGTTTGTGATCTCAAATTTGGAATTCCATAGTTCACATGTTTTGGGAAAACTGCAGTGTTCTCTAAAGGGCTTCTCTGTAAGTAATTGCTACTTACAGTCTTCACTCCAGTTTAACAAAGTTCTTTCTCTGGGACTAAAGAGCTAAACTCAAGAATGAAATCTAAGTGGCTTCTGGATTTAGTAACGCTAACACCCCCCTCTTCATTAAAAAAAAAAATCTCCGCATAACACTGACAAATTCTACCATATTCTTAAATTTTCCTATTACCTTCATATGTTTTTTTATTCAATACTAAATTACACAGAAATATTAGCAGGCAAATAGGATAGGAAAGAATATAGCCTCTTGCCTCAGCGCAGCTAATTGCCTTTTACCTTATCCCTTTCAGTTTTACTTGAACGCTTGTTTTTCAAAATACTACGAATAGCAAGGATGTGTTTCAAATGAAGTGCTTCAGTGCTTTTTTGCAAATAGCTGTTAAGTTTGCTTAGCAAGCATTTCTCTTAAGAGTAGATGAGAGCAGTTTTGTGAGAGGTGGTGTTACATAATGATTTTACAAAATGCTTGATTTGTAGGTTTTGACATTGACACACCAGATGACTTTGGCAGGACTTGTCTTCATGCAGCTGCAGCTGGAGGGTATGCAAAAAAGCATTCATGCTTTCATACTTAGTGTTTTTTTTCAATTGCTGGTCATTCCTGTTCTTTTTTATTATTTCCTCTCTGTGCTTTTCCTGCCCTCTCCCCTTGGAATTTTTTGTAAACATGAACATAATTTTGAGATGGATTCTATCTACAGAAAATAAAAATAAATTAAATATTCAGCTCCGTAAGTAATTGCTGGAGTACAGTGTCCAAGTATCATCACCTTTATCTTAGGTTTATTCTTGGGGATGAACTGAATTTTATTTTAAATTCCCATGGATGATGATATAATTTTTAGAATATACAGCAAAGATGGCATGCCCATCTAAGATCACTGTAGGACATGAGGTGGAGAACAGCAATTTTTTTTATGTTCTTACCGTATCCATAAGCAAAAGAACAATCTAACTAAATTAAAAGCCATAACTGAATTTCAGAGTTTAGGTGGATGAAGTAGTCAGAATTACTTGCGCATCACTTGAGTTGTGATCCATGTTGATTATTGTTATTGTATTGTAGGTTTTCTATAGCAGCTACTCAAAATTGCCTGGAAGAATTGGGTAATAAATTTCACGATAAACTTTGTGTGACACAAGGACTCCATGATATTTATATTTTCATTTTTCTGTTTCAGTGTTGCTTAAGTAACAGTGTTAAGTAATCATTCTAAGTCAAAAGATACTTGATGGAAACATCCTTGTTGCAAATGGTAATTTGTGATACATTCCCTCACTCACCTCTGGTTTAGGAAAGTTACTAAGACAGTGTTTAAACTATAAGCAGTATTGTACATCTATTGTAATGATCATATTGTATTGAAAATTGATTACCCAAAAAGGTGTAATAGTTATGTTGCATCTTATATTTGGCCTGAAAAAATATACATTACAAACTTGCCTCTCTGCTGGAATCCTGGTAGCAAAAAGCATGTAACATGCAGGTGTTCATGTTTGTTTGCTTTAAAGAATTGAAAATCCTATTAAATTATGTTAATGTTTATATGTTTTTATGCATGCCATTTGATATTAATAAAAATTCTATATATGGATTTGAAATAATTTGCATTATTTCCTGGTTCAGTCCTGCAATTATGAAATCTATTTTACATATAAAAATTTATTTATCAAAACTTTCATATGATAGTTCAATTAAAAATAATGTACAAGATATATATATATGCAGCAGTTCTGATATTTGCAGAGGCTGATATTAAGGAAATAGAATTTGCAATCACAAGTAAAATTGCATTACTTTAATAGGAATTTGGAGTGCCTAAATCTTCTGCTAAATACTGGTGCAGACTTCAACAGGAAGGACAGATTTGGGAGGTAAGACATTCTAGATTTGTATATTGTAACAGGCTGTTTAAAGTATTACTAAAGTAGCATATTGCTATGTGGACAAGTCTGTTCCAGTTTAAATGTTTTTAAGATACTATGTCTCTAATAAGCTTCTCTTCAGCATATGTTAGAAAAGTTACAAACATATTTTGTTTATTGTGTTTTGTTAAGTAGGTGTTTAGCCTTGTTTTTAAAGACTGAGTTCCATATTCAACTGTAATTTTTATGAGCCTTTTTTGTTTATAACATGGATCTAATGAGTTTAAATTGTTCTCATCCAAGAACATTAGTGATGTTTTCCAAATAATGTATTAGTCAAACTTATAAATCTGTTGCTATTCCTAAGCTTTTTATTAAAAAAATCCATTATTTTATTACAACTGCTTCACCTTTTTCCATTCATTATATCCATCCCTTTCTGTTTCCTTGTTCATGCTCTGACCTCTTTTGCAATGACATTAATTTCTATTTTTAGTATAGGATTATTTAAGTTTAGATGGCATGATCAGTACTTGTGTAAAATCTCACATCACATCATGGAAAATATGATTTTCCAGGATGTGAATGGCAGGAGTAGGACTCTACAAGAATGTTACAGATTCAAAGCTGTATTTTGCTTTAAGTTCCACTTCCATTCTTTCCTGAGAAAGGAACAACTATCTGTCACAACTTTTGTTATTGTAAGTTAGTGGGTTTGGTCAGTTTGGTTTGGGTTTTGGTTTAACTAACATGTGATATAGACCGATTATTTCAGGAGAGGTAAAAGATTAAGGTAGTTTAAGATGGAGAGAAATGGGAAAAGGTAATTTTAAGGGAGAGAGAAGAGGTAGGACACTTTAAAGTGCCTGACTGGAATTCTGAGTCATCTTGGTGCTTTTGAAATTTTTTCTAAACTTATTTTCTCTAAATTTATTTAGAGAATTATTTATGTATTTGAAGCTGGAATAAGTTTCCTCTGAGATTATGTATCAGTACTAATATTTCACGGTTTTGTTATAAGAAGACAAGGTATATTTTTAAAAGTTTTCTTTAACAATACCTTTCTTATGTTAGTATAGTTAAAAATAAATAAATAATGCTTGCCTCTCTTAGACAAAATACTGATCTGTTCATCAAAAACATCTACTTGTTAATGGTTGTATTTTATTTTGACCTTGTTTAGTTGCTATGCAGTTCTTAAATTTGTCCATATTTTTCCATGTGGCTTGAAATTACTTAACTAAAAATAGTATTTCTGATGTAAACTTGATTCTCCTCTATATCGTTACACAAGAAAATTCATAGAAAGCTTACCTTAATACAAAGTTCGTGCATATTTTGGCTGACAAATAGATCCCCTAGATATTGTTCTGCATTATTAAATGGCTCCTAGAAAACAGCCTCTTTTTTAGCATTGTAATGATGCATTCTTCACCACAAATACTTTTTAAAAAATGTAAGGAGGATTTAAGTTTCATTTTATTTTGCTTTTTCTGTCTCTATAATATTATTTTGCTGTTATTTACCATTGTACTTTTTGTTTAAATGTGTACTAAAGAACTCCACTCCATTATGCTGCTGCCAATTGTAATTATCAGTGCCTGTTTGCCCTTGTGGGATCTGGAGCTAGTGTGAACGACCTTGATGAGAGGGGTTGTACACCTCTGCACTATGCAGCTGCATCAGACACAGATGGAAAGTAAGTGGCATGCCTCGTACCAAAGCCTTTTTCCTAAGAAACATTTGAGCTGTGAATTTCGTGTATGTTCTGCCTTCAGATTTGCCAAATACATTTTTTTTTTGTATTTTTAAAGATTAAACTTGACAGTGGATTGTTCATTGTATATAAAATATTTTATGTAACAAATACTTTGAGAAAAATGAACGATAATAAAATGAATTGTCATTTTTTGGTTATGTCCTATAATGCAGATGTCCTAATTCAGCAGTTCATTTGGAATAGTGTTTTTAATCCCGCTTGCTGTGTAGTGGTTGAGTAAATATGATTGGGGGGGTTATTATGACAGTTGTGAGCAGTAGGGTCAATTTGCTTTAAAATAAAATTCTGATGAAGGATGGTTCTTCATGGAGGGTTCTTAACATTGCCCAAAAATCTGTGTAGTTAGTCAGTGGTACCCTGTAAAACTAGACTGTGAGTTACAGTAGGTCTACATCAGGATAGGAATTAACTCGGCATTTCAGTATAAGGTGTTCTATCCATTTGGTGTTTAAGCTATTCACGTTTGGCATTACAACTCTTACCTCTTGTTAGTGTAAATTTTTGCGAAGTAGTTACACTTTTACTAATGAAATGCATCCAGAAACTTCCATAAATCCATAAATGTCTCTCGTGTCTGTTTATTTTGTAACTAATGGCTATAGTTAACATAGTTTCTAACAACTTAAATGCTTACATGCAAAGCTTATATAGATGGCACAAAAATTGATAACGTTTCTTAAGCTCCAGACATTGTATATGTTGAGGAGACTCGAGAAGAGCACCACTTGCACGGGCACACACGCACTTACACAGGTCAAAACAAGCTGGTGTGCAGCATCGCGTTTCCAACGCGTGCTGTGACACCTTCACTGGCAAAGAGTGCTGCTTAGTGCCACATCATCTCCTTTTAATACAGCACCTTTTAAAAGCTGAGGTAGCAATAGGAATGAGGTGGCATATTAATTTACAGATTGGGTTTTGAAAGATAAATAAAGAATACTTTCATGGCCATTTAATTAATATTTGAAGTACATGCCTTTTTTACGCAAAGCTAAATTTCAAAACAAAGTTGCCGCTTTTTAGAT